GCCTTAAAGTTGTTTGCCTCTGACATCCTTTACAGACTGACTGACACTCGTGAAAGCCATATTCGGGAAGAGCAAGCTGGATTTCGTCGAGTTCGTGACTGCATTGACCACATCTTTACTTTGCGTCAGTTGTTGGAACACCGTCACATATATTGTCGGCCCGTCGTCGTGTTCCTCGACATCAAAGGTGTATTCCATTCGGTGGATAGACGTGCACTTTAGGACTGTCTACTCAGGAAAGGTGTACCTGAGAAATATGTAAATATTATCCGATCATTATACGCGCGTGGCTCAGACAGTGAGAGCTTACAACAAGCTGTCGTCGCCCTCTACTATCTCCAGCGGTGTGACACAAGGATGCCCGCTGTCACCTTTCCTCTTCAACTTCGCTATTGACGAAGTCATGGAAATCGCGTTCACAGGACACGACTTAGAAGGCGTGGATCTGCTCCCAGGAGAACGACTTCTTGACTTAGAGTATGCTGATGAAACTGCCCTAATCTGTGACAGCTCACAAACGTGCCAAGCGGCACTAGACAGATTAGCACTGGCTGTCAGCCGCTTCGGGCTTTGCTTTGCACCCTCGAAGTGCAAAGTGTTTCTCCAAGATGAGTCTGGACAGCCTCCTCCGCTGACGCTTGGTGGGGATCAGCTAGAACTCGTTCAGAAATTCGACTACCTGGAAAGTTGTATCAACGCCCGTGGGATTGAACCTGAGATCACGGACCGTATAGCAAAAGTTCGAGGCGCTTTTGTTAACATTTGCCGCTTATGGCGCCGGCGCAACATCACATTTGCCCTGAAGGGCAGAGTGTACAATGCAGCGGTACGTTCGACCCTACTGCACGGTTGTGAACTCTGGCCCCTTAAAGAAGCGGACCTGAAGAGGCTAGTTACGTTCGACCACCGGTGCCTTCGCAATTTAGCTCACATCTGGTGGGAACACCGCGTGAGCAACGAGCATGTTCGACGCCTTGTTTACGGCACCGGGAAAGGAACTGAACCGCTTAGCAACGTTATTTCACGCACTAGGCTCCAATGGCTGGGCCAGTTGTTGCGCATGTCAGCCCACCGACTCCCGCGACGTGCATTGTTTGCGCGCCGGGGATGTAGATGGAAGAAAAGGAGGGGTGGCCAAGCGAGAGACGAATGAAGGCCCTGACTTCTGAGCTGTCGTTGGTTGGAGCGTCTCGGCTCCCTGGTTGGGGTCCGAAAGACGATGAACACGTTTGGCTATATTCCTTTGCTTATATGGCTAGGAGCCGATCTCAGTGACGTTCGTGCTGTGAGTTCTTTTGTCCCAGCCCATCTCTCTTAACCTCCCCTTCCAACCACACTCTCACTATTTAGCCTTACATAATTATGCATAGTAATTTTTTGATGCACAGTGGCCGGCTGGTAGCTTATCGGAACGATGCCCATTTGTTCCCGGTAGCTCAGCTGGCATACACTACTTGCATATTTTTCTCCTTTTTTCTTCTATGTATCGCGGCACAGTAATTGAGGTCTTTCCCACCTCTAGCTAACGTGTATAACGATGATGATGCTGATGACGCTGAATTTTCGCTACTGGGCATGTCACTGATCCACGACAGGTTCACAAACGGAGGAGGAGTAATCCTGTATTACCGAAACGACTTACAGTGCGAAGCCCTGGAGGATTCAGACTCGCAGTTTCCCGACTCTCTTTGGTGCCGCTTGCAGTTAAAAGGCAGCGACGCTTGTCTTATTGTCTTGATGTACCGCCCCCTAACTCTACACTCGAAAACGACTACCACCTAGCGGCTGCTTTAGGATGCAGTTTACAACAAAAGTACACTCACATACTTATCCTGGGTAATTTCAACATACATTGTGTAAAAACTCCTGCCACGATCGGAGAACAATTCAAAACCGATCTACGAGATCTCTTAACCACTGTTTCTCTTTAAAATCACATTACTGCCCACTCGCTTCAGAACAGGTAACAGGCCATCTGTGCTGAATCTTGGGCTTACCAACGAGGAGCATATGGTTGATGTCTTGGTTTTAGACTGCCCGTTGGGTCGCAGTGATCACGCAGTCATCAGTTACAACTTCATCTGCTATGCGGAATATCGGAATGAGAACGATGAGACAGTGCGAACAATTAAAAGCTACGACCGATTAGCCCGGCTCATCAGCGCCACAACTTGATTGTTCCTTGACGAAGGACGAATTCGCCAAACAATTCAGTCGGCTGATTGCAGAGGCTTCCGAGATAAAACTATGCAGTAAGTGTACATCAGTTTCTTTTGTTAGGAGCAGAACTCGCAAATGGAGAACAGTACTCAACGCAGCATGGCGAGTGTACAGAGAAACTCCAGCACCAAAAACTTGGGACAACTAAGTAGCCCAACGTAACCACCAACGTAACTACTAAGAGGACAAAGCCGCCTCAGCACAACGTCGCAATAACCTTTAGTGCTAACCGCAAACTGCTGTACAAGCACGTCAATAGCCTAAGAAAGGTGAGGCAAGAATTTCCTCCACTCAAGACGGCTGATGGCCCAACAACAACGGCTGTGGAAGCAGTAAACACGCTGCGGATGTAATATGCCCCCACGTTTCATAGGGTCTAGCCACCAAACGATCTACCAACCTTTGTCGTCTCCTCGCCAGGACTAACCCACATCACTTTTACAACGGAGGCTGGATTACAAAAGCTGCCGTCTCTACGCAAACTCAGCTCGCCGGCTGTCGACACCATTCGTCCAGAGGCACTGGAAACAGCAGCAAGCCAACTGGCAGGACCTTTAAGTTTTTCCAGCGCTGCTTAGACCACAATCAACTTCCTGCTATGTGGAAGCTTGGAATAATAAGCCCGATTCACAAAGGTGGAAGCAGAACTGATCCCTCAACTACCGCACAGTATCCCTTCTTCCTATACTCTCTTAGGTCATGGAATCCGTAGTTGCCGATGCACTGGTGTGCTATCTGGTAAACTGTAACGTCATCACGTCTGAGCAGCACGGTTTCCGTCGACGGCGGTCATGTACAAGGAATTTGTTAATCTCCCACAGTAGTTGGACCGAGGCAGCTGACGCTGGAGAAAGCGTTGATGTGATCTACCTGGATTTTTCCAAGGCTTTCGATCGTCTAGACCATCGGATACTACTCTCCAAGCTCCAGCATTACGGGATGGGCAACCTTCTTTTAAGCTGGATTGCCACGTTTGTTTTTTGGTGTTTGTTAATGACCTTGCACAGGAAATCGTTTTGAACTTTCTAATGTTTGTTGACGATATCAAGATCTGGCGCAGGATCCAGGGGAAGACCGACCAACATGTGCTTCAGAGTGAGCTACATAAGGTACATCAATGGTCAATCCAAATCGTACTGTTTTCCATCCGACGTCAGAGCAGCTACTCATACCGGCCCGGAACGAATATACTACAACGATCAACTCTCGCACGTGACTTGGGTGTCCTGGTTCAGGATAATTTGGGTTGCTCCAGGAAATCCGAAAATGCCTCGAAGACTGGGAACCAACACGTCGGGCTATTGCGACGGGCGCTTGGACAAATAAGCAGCTCCATATTTCGACAAATGTTCAGTGCGTATGTTCGCTCCCATGTCGAATATGCAATTCAAGCCTGGCATCCATGGCTGAAATGAGACCTTAATGCACTGGGGCAGCCACAACGTCGGGCATCTAAGAACGTAATTGGAATGCGCAATCTTTCGTAGCAAGAGAGGCTGCAACGATTGGGGGTATTCAGTAGAAGCTATTGCAGACTACGAGGCGATCTGATTATGGCATACTTGATTCTGCGAGACGCACATCATGTGTGCCGCCCTTTACTGCAGCTCAGCAGCAATACAAACCTGAGGGGACACTCATTGAAATTTGCAGAACAATACAGCCGTCTGGAGTGCTGCAGAAATTTCTTTGCTATTCGTGGCTGTCGCCCGTGGAATGCTCTCCCAGAATCGTTCGTTTCTGCACCAACTCTAACAGTATTTAAAAGACGATTGGATGATGCACTCATCTACTTACACTTCGTCACTTAGCACTACGTCTCCATCTTACACCTGGAGTTTACCATGAAATTATTTGTTGTTAACTGTGGGTGCTGTGAATCTAAGTGGATTGCAAGACAACGGCGGAGCAAACGATAAGTCGTTATTTTCCTATTGAAAGTACTGTTTTACTATCATTATTATCCTTATTGTTATATCGAAATCCCCACCAATTATCCCATAGGACTTGTAAAGCAACTCTTCTTAACCCGTATAAATGTATTGTTCATTGTTCTGGTGCAACTAGCTATCTTAAAATCATCACTTCATTCTGGACCCAATTTTGAGTTTGTGGTCATTCAATTCTCGCGTCAATCACTAAGGATTCGTAATGTAACTCTTCAGGTCAGAAAATACAACTTGCTTTCCACGGCACATGCAGTTCGATTAGATTCATGTGGTCGGTGCTCTGGTTGTATCGCCTTGGTTATTTTTTTAAACTATGTCTGGAGCTGGTTCTACAGTTTCCGCCACTTCAGATAGGTCTGTTTTTCTCCACACACAGACAGGCTGTTGTCACAATAAAGATAAATGTCGCGCAAACCACAGTTTGCACAGATCGTCTTTTTACTTTTGTTTTAACTTAAAAGTTTGCATGCGTGAAAATAACCTGTCCATCCTACATCGACGCTGTAGTGTCAATGTTAGCCGACTTACCTGACTTCATTGTAGCTGTTTTTTTGTCACACGACGCTAGATCTCTTTTGCTCTCCCTCCAGTGGCTTCTATTTCCTTCTCTGAATCCATTAAACTTGAATTAAACGATGTATAACACGATTATCTACATTCTCAAATTCTTGAAACCTGCTAAGCGGCAGCAAGAAGTCTCTTGGTAGTTTATCATTTCTCTAACTCATCCTGTCCTTTGCCCCACAGCTTTCGCCTAGAATTATGTTCGATAGGCTGATGTCTATTCATCACCATTATCTAATGTACACTTTTTATGCTTATCTACTTCAGGTTCAGTAACTGCTGCGAACTGTAGAGAGTTGGCCCAACAACCGGATGTCGATGGTTTTCTTGTTGGTGGAGCTTCGTTGAAACCGGAATTCATCGACATCTGTAATGCGAATTTCAAATGAACCAAATCGCCTTGACCATAATGTGTGTGTAGCAGCTGATCAATCCTTGTATTTGTCGCAACTTTTCTCCACCTCTTTCCTATGTACCCTATTTAGCTCTTACATTTATAGAGTCCTACCGCTTACTCTTAATTCTGCTTTGGTCGCTTGTTTCGCAAACAATGTCACTGGTTTCTCTCTGCACACCATTGGAAGCGCTAATAGATGCTATCTACGCCGTGCGCAAACGAACCGTCCAAGCGTTCTGCGCCCAGTGCTTCTGTTTCAGGGGGTTTCATTGTTTGGGAGTTTATTGTTTTCGAAAGCGGTTCATTGTTTCCCAACAAGTAAACCCTAGTTGCGATGCACCATCAGACCGATATTGTTCTCAAAGCCCCCATCTTAATTGTTTGTCTCCTGCCGCTGCAACTTGGGCCGTTTGAACTACTTTGCGTGTAAGATACATCACCGGGACGAAACACGCCTTATTACTAACTTCCGGAGTTTTATTGGGGCGGCTACTTCAATTCACGCGGCCATCTCTGGCACATTTTCTCGTCTCCGATTGCTGTCTTCGTTGCACCTTTTTAATTCTATGGGGCTATCACGGATACACAGCGAAAATAGGTTATCTCAAGCATATCAGTTCGTTGGATTCTCCGTCAACACCACATTATACGTCTTTCCTCGTAATCAGCAATCGCTTCTTGCTACTGGGTCGGCTATGAGTAGTTGAAACCTGTCCTCACTGTCAATCGCCTACTCTTCGATACCGTACGTAAAAACAGAGCAAACTCGAAAATGCGGCCGTTTTGTTCTCAAATCAGCGACGACGGTCTTATCAAATCTAACTGATAGACATTGAATTGGCCTTTTCAATCAGTCCGTGATCCCCTCATTTCATGTACAAGAATAATTGGTTTCTTGTTCTTCAGTGCTACAAATGGAGTCGCTTTTTCTGGATCCTCCTTCTCTTTCCCATAATTTCTGCATCAGGCCATTCATCGCGTTCACATGATTTGCTCTGAGTGTACATACCTTTTCGTTTCCACCTCTGCTTCACTCAGTTGCGTTTACTAGTTACCCCGGAGTGGGGCATTGACAACAGATTTGGGCAAATCTCTTCACCCCCTAGATATGCATAACTTCTCACGCAAGTTTGCACTTTCACTAGTTGCTTGATGGCCCAGTCTAGGAGGAATTTACTCCATAGGTCAACTCGAAAGAAACATGATTTTTACGCACGCGATGATGGAATAGGTCCATACCCTGAGTAGTCAATTCCGCGGGTTTCCTTTGCTCACAGCAGCTGTACCTTGCTCTTAACTGGTTGCGCTTTTCCCTCTGGCTCCCAGATGAGCACGCCTAGCCATCATTACTTCTTCAAAGTTCTCGAGGTCATGACTTAGCCCATTTTTGATGCGTAATGGTACAAGGGCTTAAATTATTTCCGATAAGTAGGGATTAGACTCGATAGATCCACACATCTAACTCGTTTTTTGTTGTTTCCGTGTGCCATTTTCTCGCCATTTGCCCGGCGATCTTTTTAACTCAACCCCATGAGTGTTATTGGTCGATTCTCTTACCGACCTCTACTGATACGCGGGAATAACAGTGGAATACCCGCTGTGAGGTTCCGCTTTGAAACCATGTATCCTACATTTATCATGAGCGGTTGGGTCACTCCCGTTTGAAGGACATTTCAGTGCCGCTGTCCCAATCCTGAAGCTGACAAACGGCTTCACTCTTGCTCAACCTCACCAATTATATGATTTCAGAAGGTTTGAATACAAATCGGTTTTGTTAGGGTTTTATTGTGGCAACGTTTCGCCCTTGACATAAGAGCTTCTTCAGGCCAGGCGAATGGTTACAAACTTGGCTTATCTTTTTATGGGAATGTAAGTTGAAGGTTGCAAGACATAACATGAACCATTGGATAATAGTGTTACAGGTCAATAGGTCAATTGGCCATGCTAGTGAAACAACAAGCATCGAGTGTTTCTCATTGATCCACGTCACGTTCACATGTGAGGCATTCCTTTCTTGCAGCTGCTGATCCACGCTCCGACCTGAGTTCGTCCGCCGACACCTTTTCTGACTGACCGGGTTAACACAGCCCGCCACGCGTTCGATAACTCCACCCCGTCTGTTCTGTTCACACAATTATTAGTCTTAGTAATCTCGATCGCCTCAGCAATCAACCTTTGGTCTGTTGCTGGTAATTCCCTCCTAAGTATCTCGACATTGTCCCAATCAATCGCTTGTCCTGCCTCTAGCGCATGTATGTCCACCGCTGAATCTTTTAGTAAGGCCCTGTATTCAGGCTCATTTCTCGGTGGACGCGAAACGTACCTCTTGTGTTCTGCTATCCTTGTGCGTTGCTCTCTCGCTATTTGACCTATATACACGTGTCCACAGTCTTCGCAATTGATTTTATCAACACAATTTGTCGTCCTGTCTCTTGGAAGTGGATCCTTCAAACGCACAAGTGATGAATAGTGCGTTTGACCCTTTCGAAAAACCACTCTTATTTTCTCCTCGTTTAGTACTCGTCTGACTGCTTTTGAGGTTCTCTTATTTATAGGGGATTCCCACTGTCCCAATGCACCCCGTTATGCGTCGCGGAGGTGGATTTAGAGCTTTCTGCAATTGGCTTTTTGCTAACCGCCTCGGATATCCACTGTCTACTGATTTGCCCACCGTCTCTTTACGAGCGGCCTTCCTGTCCTCCTCCTCTACACAGAGTCTGGGCTCGGTGAAACAGAGAGGATGCGATAGTGGCATAGACTTGTTTTGGATAACCCGAGTTGTAACGAAGCACTCCGTCCATATCTGTCGGCTTGCGATATATCGTCTTCTTTAGCCGTCCACCGTTCCTGTGAACTAGGCAATCGAGGAATGGCAGTGTGTCACTGCAAGATTCTAGTTCCACAGTAAAGTCTGTATTTCCATTAATGGAGTTCAGGTGATTTAGAAACGCATCCTTCAAATCTCCCTTTATAATCACAAACGTGTCATCCACGTAGCGCCACCAAATCTTTGGCGAACTACTAGAGTTTGTCAGCGCCCTTCCCTCAAAGTCTTCCATATACAGATTTGCCAACACGGAGGATATTGGTGACCCCATGGCAAGTTCCTGTTCCTGAGAGTACAGTCTCGACTTGAAAGTGAAATATGACATATTAAGGCATACCTTAATTCCATCGATTATCTTATCTACCGTGAGTTTCGTTCGCTGCTCCAGGCTGTTGTCTTCAGTAAGACAACGCTGTGCTATACCCAATGCGTCATCCTTGGGCATGTTAGTGAATAGGGAGCTAACATCGAAACTAATCATTATTTCTTCTGGCGCGATGTTCAGACATGTTACCTTTCGCGCGAACTTATAAGAGTTCCGTACGAAGCTATTTGTTCTCCTGTTAGAGGTTGCGACAAACCTGCCAAATATCGGGCTAGTTCGTGCGTTGGAGAACCGATACCATCTACAATGGGCCCAACGGGAACTTCGGGCTTATGTATTTTCGCTAGCCCATAGATCCTAGGTGGTATCGTTGATTTCGGATATACGCTATACCATTTACCCGACCCTAGGTTGTCCTTCACACTTCTCAGGTAGTTTCCTACCTCAGTTTTACACTTATTCATTATGGAAGATACGGATTTTTTCTCAATTGCTTCGTAGGGCCCTGCTGCTAAATGCTGTTCCATTTTTTCTACATAATTCGATTTGTTCATTATCACTACAGTCTTGCCTTTATCGGCTTTCCTGATGATGATGGTGGGGTCTTCTCTTAAGGCCTTTAATGCGGTACGCTCCGCTGGTGTAAGATTTGGCTCCCCAGGCTTCTGAAATCTGATGATGTCTACCGTCTGTGCACGAATATTCTCAATTATATTTAGTTATAGTTAGGCAAATTGAGCTACCAGACCATGACTTCATGTCGTTAGCTTGGTCTCTCAACGATTCTAACTGGCTGGCTGCGGATTCAATGCTGATACAAGTGGGGAACTCACTGACCGGTACTTTGAGTCAAGTTATCTATTGTGCGATTTGCGTGGAGTGCTGTCTTGGTTACAGCCGTCGCTTAACGCAGTGCAATTCGAGCAGTGTAGATCCCATGATCCTATCGATGTACAAAGGACGCCACTAATCTCTTTTTGAGTACATGTTAGCGAGAGGGGAGGGATATGACAGCCCCGGGGTGCTCACTTGTCCTGTGGACCTGAGAGGATGGCTTTCCTTGGGACCCACACACTCCTCGAGCATTGCGGTACAAAGACGTGACCTTGAGCAAACTTGCGTGCTTATCGCTCACTGGTGCACTCGTGATTTTGTTCATTGTGGCTCAGCGACATTTTGTATCGCACCTTTGGATCTATACTTGTTCGTCGTACTTTTGAAAGCTCTACCTCGTGATACCATTTTATCGAGTACACTCCAGTGCATTCTACATTTACTCTGAATTCTAATTTCTGGGCAGTGTTTCGCCGGTATCCAAGCGCCATAGTTGCATAACTACAACCATCGGAGACATTGTTTTGCCTCACTCGATAGACCATTTCAGGGGCTTTCGAACGAACTCTTACTCGTTAAAACCCAACATTGCGTAGAGCAGCTACAGATCTCATGGCAAATTCACCTGGCGCGATCCATAGGCCTAACCACGAAAATTCTCAACCACACCCTCCTTAAGCCGCCCAACCTTCAGACTGACTCATTCGACTGATATGCCAGAGGACAGTCTGCAAGCACACAAATGCAAAGTGAACCTTGTGACCTTAGCCTCAACGTCAGAAACAGATAACACATCGCATTTGCCCACCACTTTCTACAGTCGCATCTTGATCGAAAAATCGCGTCCAAGTTTACATAGACCTGGGTCAAGCCGCGATTCACCTCAGAGCACGTGACAGCTCCCTACCACCACTTCGTCCGCACCGTGACGTTAGACGTTGAATCTACGCCCCGCTTCCGATTCGTTGGCTGACCCCGTTGGTGGAAACTTGAAAAGGCAAATCACTCGACCTTAACGGCCTTTTTAATCCAGAATTCACGCTTGGCTATAGCATATACTAGATAGTTTTTACCTTCCTATTTACAAGCTAAATGACTGTCATTAACACTCATCCGTTGGGGAAAAAGTGCGGAAAATCGGGTAACCACGGTAAGCAATACCGTAGCGGTCACTACGAGTGCTGTGGAACCTGTGCTCTGTTGCACACATTCCGTACCGAGATACCAGAGCAGATAAATGAGTCAAAAATACCAATGATTGAGAATTCAGTTAATGTTGTCGACCTTATATCTCCACTACCAGCCAGAATAAAGACGTTGGAGAAACAGTTAACCGAACAATTTGAGAAACTGAAGTTGTTTGACTCATTGGGAGATATATTTATGTCAGTTACATAGCTAATTCAAGCTCCGGCTAATTCAGAGCCAAAGCACAAGAT